TATCTTGTTGGCACCATAAATTAGTTTTGCTTCACACTGTCTTGATCAAAAGTGTGTGAAGTTCTTAAGAATTGTGGTTGAACTCCTTTGATGAAGCTCTTGTTGGCATAAATTGGTTTTGCTTCACACTGTCTTAATCAAGTGTGTGTGAAGCTTTTGAGAATTGTGGTTACCCTCTATTGATGAAGCTCTTGTTGGCACCATAAATTGGTTTTGTTTCACACTGTCTTGGTCAAGAGTGTGTGAAGCTTTCTATGAGTTGTAGTGTTTGCATTGTTACAGAGATGAAATATCTGAAGCAAATGCAAAAGGGCTGAATAACTTGATCTTCGTATGCCATGCACTGAAGTTGGTGTTGGCTTACAATAAGACTTTGTTGGTGACTATAACTCTTGTTGGGCATAAGTGCTCCCTTAGTTGAGTTGTCAAGCTTAAGGGTTATTTGTGAATGCTAGGAGTTCACATGTACAAGTTGTACCACTCGTCTTTTGGTAGGTGGAATGAATGGTGAGTTGTTTTCATCACTTGGTTGGTGGTACGAAAGTGAGTTCCTTCACCACCTTTCATCACATTTCATCACCTGGTTGGTGGCACGATGAAGAGTTCCTTCTTCACCTAGTTGGTGGCATGAATGGCAAGTTGCCAAATGATATTAGAGTACGGGTTGTACATTTCATCACCTGGTTGGTGGCATGAAGATGCGTTCCTTCTTCACCTGGTTGGTGGCATGAGTGGCAAGTTGCCAAATGATATTAGAGTACTGGTTATACATTTCATCACTTGGTTGGTGACATGAAGAAGAGTAAGGGTTGTACATTTCATCACCTAGTTTATGGCATGAAGATGAGTTCCTTCTTCACCTGGTTGGTGGAATGAGTGGCAAGTTGCCAAATGACATTAGAGTACGGGTTGTACATTTCATCATCTGGTTAGTGGCATGAAAGAGAGTTTGGGTTGGACATTTCATCACCTAGTTGGTGGCATGAAGATGAGTTCCTTCTTCACATTTCATCACCTGGTTGGTGAGAATAAGGGCTAGGTGTCGAGGCACATTATAGCAAGTGTCGAAGACACAAAGTATGTTGAACCCTTTCGAAGCGTAGTTGGCTTATGTATGGATGTGTTGGAATGTATGATGTTTATGTATGAATGTGTTGGAATGTATAATGTTTATGTTGATTGATATGAGTGATGCTTATGAATGTTTTGCTATGCATGAAGGGATCCATGTTTTTGATGAACCATGTTGGTTGTAACACTTAGTATCACATACTTTGTGTCAAAGTACGCATGTTAAAGCTCTGAGTTTGAGTATAAGGGTAGGTCAGCGTAGACCAAGTGTTCCAGTGCTAGGAATGCAAAAGACTCAGAAGAAGTTGTCTGAATTCCCTCTTCTTTAAATATTTGTCGAATGTCTTGTGTGACAAAAGATCTCAAGCGGTTGAGAGTCAAAACATTTATAATGTGTATGCCTTCTTATAATAGCTTTTCCTTCAGTACCTAGTCCTCCACTTTGAAAGAGTGAGGCTTGGCCCCATAGTCATAATAGTCGACGATACGTTCACCCCTGGTTGTCTTGATACAAACTTTTATCCCTCTTGTTGTAATGGGCTTGTTGAGAGTAAAAATCCTTCCTCTTACCAAGAGATAGATACGTTTGGTAACTTAGCGAGTAGCTAAATGAGGCAGGAGATGATGCAATGGGTGTCCGAATGGCCAATATCTCTTCACTTGGTAGAACTTGACTTCCACTTCCCATTTGTTGATAGGGGTTAACCATATAGGGGTTCCCTTGGTATGTCATTGCTTCAGCGGAGACGTGGTTGTAAGCCTGTGCCATCACCTTAAAGTAAGTCTTCCAAGTGTTAGCATTGATCATATACTTGAAGAAACAATCAAGTAGGCATACCGTGAAGGCCTTGAGGGCGGTCATGTCATATGCCTCATCGCAGTGAGAATACTCGTGGCTGAAGCGACCGGCATACTCTCGTAGTGACTCGTTCGGCTTCTGGTTAATAGTGTACAAGTCATCTACAGAATGAAAGTGATCGGTCTGGAAGATGTGTTAAGAGAGAAACAGTTTCCTCAATTCCTTAAATGAGTCTACTGTCTTAGGTGGAAGATGGCAATACCAGTTTAGAGCTCCGCCAGAGAGGGTGGAGGGGAAGAAAAGACATCGCTCTTCGTCGGTGTGTATCTGATATGCCATGGTGGACTCAAAGAGGTTAAAGTGTTCAATTGGGTCCTCCCTTCTAGTATAGAGTTATAAACCAAGCTTTTTTTTTGTCTTCGCTTGAAGAGGGTGTCGATAATCCTTCTTGTAAGAGGGCCAGGCCTGGGTTGGTTCTAGTCAGGTTTCTCGGCCTGATGTTCAGCCTTCAACTTGTTTACTTCCTCAAGAAACTGTAGGACAAGGGGGTCTTAAGTGGGGTCATGTACCACTAGAATTTTCTTTCGTAACTCTCCATCGCCTCTTGGAAGTAGGAAAGTTTGAGCAAGGGCGTGTGGTTTTTTCTTGGACTCGCCGTACTGACTTCTAGGGCTAGTTTGTTGGAATACCTCAAAGTCCCCCGTACCTTCATGTTCCTCTAGAACGTGTCGTTCCTTCCCTAAATTGGCAGTTGGCCTAGGTCGTGGGAGAGGACCGAGTCTTTCAGAAACCTTTGGGTCATTGATCTTCGAGCATATGTAGAAGGGATTCTCTCGACGTTGCTTTAAGAAGTCTCGGCAGTCACGATAAACAACTTTCGATCATTCCAACCCTTCTGCAAGGAAGTGTCTTCCTCCACTTCTTCTACTTCGGGTCGAAGCATCTGGGTTGAGAGAAATCTCATGTTGATCAATGTTTTGATGATTAGCTCGCTCCTCATCAGGGATACCCATGTCGAAAGGAGGCGACCCTTCGTGTTGGGGGCACCCAGATGATGGTTGATGTCCACAAGGGCAACGAGCTCGCGTTTTTGAGTACGCCTAGTTTCGTGGAGCTTCTCATACTGCTCCTGGAAGACCTCATTCTTCATTGTTATCTTGTTGTTCTGAGCTTCTAGCTCATCGACTTTACCTTGAAGAGCAACCCTCTTTCCTTCCTTCTTTCGTTGCTTCGCACTAGGTGTAAGAGGGGTGTCATTCTGTGTGTTGTGGCTTCCTTCGCTCCCCATGTTGGAGAAGGATGCCTGGTCAAAAGAGAGTGTACGAATGGTGGAAACCAGCTTGGCAAAGCAAAAAAGAGTGGGAATAAGTGTCGTTCCCACAGACGGCGCCAAATGTTGATGCACAAAATCAGTGAGAACTTTGGTACAACAGAAAGTGTTAAGTTTGTGATCTTCGCTAGATTACTCCGGTCACTAGTGTGGATAAGTATGTAAATGGATAGAGACTGGGAAACAAACACAAGATGTACGTGGTTCACCCAGATTGGCTACGCCCACGAAGTATCGGAGTTCTCATTAATTATGAAGGGTTTACACAAGTACACAGGTTTAAGCTCTCCTTTAGTGAGTACAAGTGAATGATTTAGTACAAATGATATTCGGAAATATTGTGAGATAATGATCTCTATTTATAAAAGAGAGTTTCTAGTTTCATTCTGACATTGACACGTGTTGTGTTGTGATTGGCTTCTGACGTCAACACGTGTTGCGCTGTGATTGACCTCCTGGTTGGAGGGAAACTCTTCTGGGTTCTTGACGGTATAACGTTGATCAGTGCTCAGTAGTTTTGGAATTTGTCAAGTATGGTACAAACAAGTTAGAAATAAATACCTATTTTAGGCACTTTTGACTTAATTGAGGGATGATTGTCCACTACTAGCGTGTAGGAATTTCGGTGTTCCCTGAGAGTAATTTTATCATTTTAACCCAAAAATCCATGTGTCACCTCTTGATTATTTTTGGCTCCACAATTACGATCTTAGATGATAAAAAAAATGAACGATTCTAATTATGATGTCCATATAATAAAAAGACATTAATCATAAGTTGAAAAAAAAAAAAAAAAAAACTAATGAAAATGGCTTGAAAACTTTGAGTTTTAATGATAAGGACAAAATAAAGGGTAAAGTAAATAGTAACAGGATTAACTTTTTAGTGTAAAAATATGGTTTTTCGTTAAAGTGAACAGTATTATGTGCTTTTCGTTAAAGTTCCCAAAAAAAAAGATAAATTCTTCTATGGAAGGAACACGAACATTATCCATTTCTAAATTCCAGTCAAACACCCAAGTCCCCTTATCACATCAATAACTGCACACTTTTGACTCGGTTCATTCACAAAGCATTCCGATTACTTTTCTACGAAATGCTTAAGCCTGACTTTTTTAAGAACGTCACCATCATTCACCCCACAAATTCTAAATATATGCTTTTTCTTTTTTTCATTCACAAAGCATTCCGATTACTTTTCTACGAAATGCTTAAGCCTGAATCTTAAGAACGTCACCATCGTTCACCCCACAAATTCTAAATATATGCTTTTTCTTTTTACAATTAAACAAGGAATGATGTTAGAGAAAGTAAATTTATAAATTAAATGATGTGTCGTTAATAAAAAGATAAACACATTAATTAACAATTGAGTAATAATTCAATCGTTAATATCCACCACATTTAGCTTACAAAATTTAGTTAAAAATTAAATCTCCTTAGCATTATCCTTAAACAAGTTATGTTAATTTTATAAACTAAATTTTAATTAACTTGATAATTTTACCTAGCGTTACCCTGAGAATTGACATTTGAACCACAATTGATTCATCATTCAGAGAAGCTTCTGCAAGCCATTTCAAAATAAAGCACAATTCTATAAAAAAAAATAAAAACAAACCAAGTCAAATGTCAAGCCGTACAACTTGGGCAACCGCGTCTAAGACTTAAATTTTCCAACACTTCACCATCAACGACACCAACAAGGAGAAAATCAAAGTTTCCATGAAACTCATCAGCCTTTCCCATTACCAATTATATATCTCCGGCCACCACTTTTGCATCTGTTCATTTCATCACCATGGCTTCTCCTAAAGAACAAGTCAAGCCTTTAGCCCTAGCCAACTCACACTATCTCCGCAGTGATGAAGAGGAAGTCGCCTCCTTGCACATAAAGCTCAAGCAAAGAAAATACGTGCACTGTTGCGGCTGTGTCTCTGCCGTTTTCTTAATCATAGCTGTAACAGCCATAGTCCTCGGATTCACCGTGTTTCATGTAAAGGATCCGAAGATCAAGATGAACAAGGTCACAGTCCAACGGCTGGAGTTTGCCAATGGAAACCTACGTACGGATACTAATATAACACTCCTAGCGGATGTCTCCGTCAAAAATCCTAACGTGGCATCTTTCAAGTATAGCAATGCCACCACTTTGGTTTACTACAGCGGGACAGAGGTCGGCGAAGGGAGGACTCCAGCGGGAGTGGCAAAGGCGAGGCGGACATCGAGGATGAATGTTACGGTGGATATTGTTCCCGGGAAGATCTTGGGCGTACCGGGGCTCATGAGGGAGGTAGCTTCAGGGGAACTGACCATGACGACTTATACGAGAATTCAGGGTAAGGTGAAAGTCGTTATGGTCAAGAAAAATGTAGTGGTTGAATTGAATTGTACCGTGAGGTACAATTTTTCAAGCGGGGAGATTCAAGGAAAAGATTGCAAACGGAGGGTTCGTCTGTAATGATTAGAATTCATTTTTTTCGATCGGTTGACAATTGGATCAGATTAATCTTACACATGAGTATATGTAAGTTATACTGTTGTAATTTATTAATTATATCTGATAGTAATATAGAAACACAGGTTGCTAAAAGAGCAGTTGTTGTATGGAAGTTGTAGCCTTTTCAATTTTCATGATCATTGCCAATCATCAAAAGAGTTCTATGTTAATTGATACTTAATGCCAGAGTTTTACATTACATGTTGGCCTAATTATACGCACCAAACGTATTAAAGAAAATATATTTTTTTTTTTGAAGAATAAGAAAATATATATTAGGCCATTTGTTTTGCACGAAAATGTGTTGAGTTGTCTCAAGCAAGAAGGTTGTATTTTAGTCAGTAAAAGGCAGGAGAGTGTATTTAATTGGGATTGTGAGGGATTTTATTTCTTTCCATAAATTTAGGGTATTCAATTAGCATTTTTAATGATTCTTTTAAAACCTATCAGTATTTTTAATGATTTTCTAAAAGTTTAAGGGTATTTAATCAAGATTTTTTGTGAGTTTTTAACATTTCAAGTATATTTAATTATAAATTGATTTTAAAGGATTTTAAAAAGTTTGGAATTCGAGAAAATTAGAGAGATTTCGTAGTGTATTTTGAAAAATCTCACTTCTCCCTTGAGAATTTGAGGGAATTAACTCAAATTTCTAAAAATCATTTAAACTCTATTAAAATTTATAAATTAATAAATCGAAAAAAAAAATCTTCAAAATCGCAATTTAATACACTGTTTAATTAGCTGGTAAAGTTCGCTACAAGCCTACAAGTAAACCACAAGTAGACTACATTATAGCGCGTTTAGGTATCCGTAATTGGAATCAAAACAAGGAATTGAATTCCGATTACAGAGTATTGAAGTGTTTACTAAAACAAGGGGAATCAAAAGAGTGGTGGGACCCACACAAAATAAGGAATCCAACTCCCTAATTTGGAGAAATTAGACTCCTTAGATGGGTGAGCTATTTGGATTCCAGGAGAAGGAGGAATCATGAATGTACTTTTTCCACCTATTATGACCCTCTCATTATTTCTAAAATTTCAAGTCTGCCACTCATCCCAACAAGTCCACCGCTCCCTGCACACCCTGCCTTCATGCGCCAATTTGGAGAAATTAGACTCCTTAGATGGGTGAGCTATTTGGATTCCAGGAGAAGGAGGAATCATGAATGTACTTTTTCCACCTATTATGACCCTCTCATTATTTCTAAAATTTCAAGTCTGCCACTCATCCCAACAAGTCCACCGCTGCCTGCACACCCTGCCTTCATGCGTCTGCTCCTCACTTTCCGGTTTCCACCTCCCCGTGTGACTGGGCTTCACTTCCCAACCTACCAGTTCAAGAACCCCAACCACGTCTTCCCAAAACAGGATTAAAAAATTAACCACCCAAACCCAAAAAATAAACAATTCAAATCCAAATCCAAACTCACAGACCCGTAGAAGCAATCACTCAAAAAACCTAGAAATCATGAGATACTTCACAGGTAGAAGAGGTGGTGGCTATGAGGTAGGGTGTGTGGGGAAGATGTTGGTGAGGGTTAGGAGAGAAAAGGTACGCAAACTTGTCGAGAGGGAGGGAGTGTTCTAGTATATGGAAGACATAAAACAAATTGCCGAGAGGAGAGGAGGAATTGGATTGATGTGAAATAAAACAAATTAAAATGTTATTCCAAATAAATATACGGAAGACATAAAACATAAAAGAACAAGGACATTTTAGTAATCATATTGATTTTTATTTCGATTCAGGTAAATTAGTAAACAATTTATATGAACTCAGTTTCATTCATATTCCAATTCCAGAACATTTAAGTAAACAGTTTCACTGAAATCTGATTCTAACTCCTCCTCGTTCCAACTCCTCATCAATCAAATTCCTCATTAATTTAATTCTTACTATTTTGATTAACGTAGATGAGCTATTAATCTTTCGATAAAGCATTTTGGGGGGCCCACGTGAACTTCCTATTACTGGACAGTGGAGAATAGTCAAAGGGCAAACTTTTTAGCGCCGACTAAAGATGGCCTTAAGACTTATATGCTGTCGTTTGTCTCGGATAAACTGGAAATTGTGGACTAAATTTGGCTAATTATTTACAAGTTCGACTCCTATATCTATGCTACTGTCACATGTGTACATGTATTGTGGGGTCAAACGTGCACCTGTGTATATGTTCATCTAGAAGTTATGCCCCTACTTCAACTATCACTTAAAAATAACCCTTAGACCACCGACATCCAGGAAAACGTTTTAGGACAATTAGCTATAATGAATATATTTGGTTTTTTTTTTAATCTAAAATGGTCTTTGAGATTGATATAACTTTTCACTTTGATCCTTGAAATTTAAAATCAATAGAAGTGGTTCCTGAAATTGTCCACCGTCAATTATTTTGATTCTTCTGTGAGAGATTTCCGTTAAATTAAGGGTATTTTTGTCAAAACAACCATTCCCCTTGAATTGGTATTTTCTTCAAATTAATGGGAATTTTTCACTTAAAGACCAAAATGATTGATGGTAGACAATCTCAGGTACCACTTCTATCGATTTTAAATCTCAATGACTAAATTGAGGAGTTATGACAATCTCAGTAATTAGTTTAGCTAAAAAGCCAATGTGTTTTGAGATTTGGTTGCAAAATGATCAATCATCATTATATTATTGTTGTGTTGTTGTTATGTTATTGTTATGTCTTCAATATATGATCAATATGTCGTTACCAAAAAATGATCATTTTACAAACCAAATATCAAAACATGTATATTGTAGCAAATTCCCCAACTTTTTATAGTGTATTTTTTTTCTCAAATGCAGTAACTCACATGCAACTATGAATGTTTGGGCAATAAATAAAATTAGAGTAAACTGTCGATTTGCCCCCTGAACTATCACCCAACTTTCGATTTGCCCCCTGAACTTTTTAATTGGAAAATTAAGGACTTAAACTAATTTTTTTGGCCGATTTGCCCCCTGCTGTTAATTTTTCATTCATTCCATCCAAATTTCTGTTAAATTGAAGCATATGCACAACATGTGTGGGTAGTTCGGTCACTTCATTCTTTAAAATAATTGAAAACCTTAGATTTCTAAAATATAAACCTATTGCAAATATGTGTGATTCTATAGCTTTTCTGTCTGAAGGTCTAGTGAAATGACGCTTTTGTCCAAAAATGAGAGTTACATGGTTTGCACATGATAAGAGTTAACGTTAATTTGGATGAAATTTATGAAAAACTAACGGTAGGGGGGAAATCGGCCAAAAAAATTAGTTTAAGTCCTTAATTTTCCAATTAAAAAGTTCAGGGGGCAAATCGAAAGTTGGGTGATAGTTCAGGGGGCAAATTGACAGTTTACTCATAAAATTAAGGTCAACTATGGAGCCTATCCATTGTTATCTAGGTAAAAGTCTCACGACTTCAGTCCACCAACTTTGAACCCCAAATTAGAGCTCCGACAACCATTTCATCTCTCTCCAACTTGTCTGAGGGCTTGGATAGGAGTCTCTCCAAGATATGTCAGCCACGCAAACGACTGGAGTTCTGGAATATCTCGTCCCGTTAAATGCATACGCACGCATCATCCGGTACGCTAAAATTACTACCATAATTGTGCAAACAGCCTCAAGATACAGTTGAAGGCTAAGAACCACAAGTTACAGTCATTGTCAACACCAAATGACCGGTCTATCCTTACTCCAACTTAGCAATTTGGTCAAGGTTACTCTTTCTTCATTACCTATAATAGAACCATAAGCCTTCAAGCTCTGGACTTTCATCAAATCGAATCTTTACGATTATACAAAATATTGAGTGATTCTTCAATCTTCTCAACTACTTTTCAACACAAACCCAATTGCTCTTCAGCAAAAACCAACTCTCAGATCTTCAACTACAAACTCAAAGTCTTCCTTAAAGCAAACACTATCTACGTTCACTGAGAGATAAAACTGTTATAGCTTTGTCACCCCGTGGTATGATTTGGTTGATATACAATTACAACCACTTTGATTCCCTCTCTGAGAATTATGTTTGGTACTAAGGCCAATCTAAAGACAGTAATCTCGGTGGACTTCTCTAGCATTATCTTGCCCTTCATGGCTTGAATCTTACTAAGAGCTTTTACTGCTTTCTATACATTTCTAGTTCATTTACATTCCAAGCCATGTAGTTCAACCCATCAGTCTAGATTTTACTTTATGAACATTTGTAACCTTGACTCCATCATGAACTAATTACATTATGTTTTTCACTTTAAGTTTTCATTTCTCTTTCATTTATGTTTTAGGCAAAAACACACAAAGTTACATTAAATTTTAAGTTCCTGTTCACTCGAGGCACCTAAAATAACCTAGCCAAACTAGGGTCCCACTCGGCATATAATTGTTTGGTTAAGAAGTTATTTCTATGCACAACCTCACAGTCACTTGAATACAAACATTGTCTGTTGGCAGCCTCTAACAGTGGCACGCCTATTCTCTCTTTCACTCGATCTATATCATGGCACTGAGATCGAAAGCCAAGACAAATACATATTGAAACCCAATGCCATGCTCTGTCCGAGTTTTGACACCAACAATTATATTCATGATTGGCTTCAACATTAAACCCCAGGCGTGTGGTTCCAAGTTGATGATCCCAAGCATATGGCCTTTTATATCTTTCAAATACCTTCTAAGTTGATGAATTTCAAAGTGCCTAGCAAAAGCATTGTAGTCTAACATCAGGGATTAGACTACAACACTAATAAACGCCTTTGGTTGGTGTTTAATTCCATTTATGAATGGACAAGTACCAAATCTGCAAGACGCTTAATTATCATTTATATGATGAAAAGGATTCAGGTTTACACGAGATCTTGTGTTCAACCACTATCAATATGGTATCAAATCTTACAAGAGACTTGTAGCTGTTGTAGTTAAAAGCATTTAGCCTGGAAGTCATTCACAAGGTAAAAAA